CCAGGATTTCTGTTTTGTCTGAGTTCAGCTGGAGGAAATTATTTGACATCCATTTTTTAACTTCACAAAGGCAGTTGTTAAGTGAACTCAGCATTCCAGGGTCTGTGGATCTGACGGGCAAGTATATTTGTGTGTCATCAGCATAAATATGAAAAGAAATGCCATGTTTATGGCATTATATGCCCAAGGGGAAGCAGATACAAGGAAAACAAAATGGGTCCTATGACCGACCCCTGAAGCACACCATATTTAACTGGACAGAATGAAGAGACATAGTTGTTTACAGACACGCAAAACTTCCTATTTGACAGGTAGGATGAAAACCATTCTAGAGCAGTACGAGAGATCCCCACCCAGTGCCTCAGTCTGTCTAACATGATGTTGTGATCAATGGTGTCAAAAGCAGCGCTAAGGTCCAGGAGTACAAGGACTGAGCACAAGTCTTCATCAGCAGACTAAGGTCATTGGTGACTTTAAGCAGGGCAGTCTCAGTGCTGTGGTACTTCCTAAAACCAGACTGAAACTTTTCAAATAATTTGTTATTTTCCAGTACAGTGAGCAGCTGTTTGGACACAATTCTTTCTAGAATCTTTGCAATAAAAGGCAGTTTTGAAATTGGTCTAAAATTATGTGGGAGGGAGGGATCTAAACCAGGTTTCTTTAAAAGTGGGTTCACGCAAGCCGTTTTAAAATAATCAGGGACACAACCAGTAGATAGGGAGCTGTTGAAAACAGAGATCAAATGGGGCCCAACAGAATCTATTACTTTCAGTAAAAAATTTGTAGGTATTATATCAAGTGGGCCGGAGGACACTCTCATTTGTGATACTGTTTTTAAAAGCTCACCAGTTGTTGCTGGTGAGGAACCTCTGAGTAATTCAATTCAATTTTATTTATATAGCGCCAAATCACAACAACAGTTATCTCACAGCGCTTTTCATAAAAGAGCAGGTCTAGACCGTACTCTGTGATGATATTTACAGAAGCCCAACAGTTCCCACCAAGAGCAAGCACTAGGCGACAGAGGCAAGGAAAAACTTCCTTTTAAGAGGCAGAAACCTCGAGCAGAACCATGGCTCAGGGTGGGCGGCCATCTGCCTCGACCGGTTGGGGTGAGAGAGAGAGAGAGAGAGAAAGAGAGAGAGAAAGAGAGTGAAAGAGAGAGAGAGAGAGAAGAGAGTGAAAGAGAGAGAGAGAGAGAAAGAGGGATGTAAGGAGAGAGAGAGGGGAGGGAGGCAGCCTACACAATATACACACAGAGGTACAGACAGCGAAGGTAATGTTGCTATAAACTAAATGAAAAATGGTACAGATATTTATAATAGTGTTAATGGTAACCATCATAATGTTAATGATTATAATAACAATAATAACAATAGGACTAGCAACAATAGTCGTTGCAGTAGAGGGTGTCGAGCAGGAACACGGGGGCAGCAGGTGACCCGCAACCACAGATCCAGACTCCACAGCTCCAGAGCCAGAAAACCTGCAGGAAGTGATAGGAGAGAGGAGAGGGACGAGAAAGCACAAGACTACCAGAAAGGGGAGAAGTTGTGTTAGTAACATGCAATAATGGGATAAGGTTGCATACAGAGGGAGAGAAAGTAGAGGAGAGAGGAGCTCAGTGCATCATGGGAAATCCCCCGGCAGTCTAGGCCTATAGCAGCATAACTAAGGGATGGTTCAGGACTACCTGAGCCAGCCCTAACTATAAGCTTTATCAAAGAGGAAAGTCTTAAGCCTACTCTTAAATGTGGAGATGGTGTCTGCCTCCTGAACCCAAACTGGAACCTGGTTCCACAGGAGAGGAGCTTGATAGCTGAACGCTCTGGCTCCTAGTCTACTTTTGGAGACTCTAGGAACCACAAGTAACCCTGCATTCTGGGAGCGCAGTGCTCTGGTGGGGTAGTAAGGTACTATGAGCTCTTTAAGATAAGATGGTGTCTGACCATTAAGAGCTTTGTAGGTAAGAAGAATGATTTTAAATTCTATTCTGGATTTTACTGGAAGCCAATGCAAAGAAGCTAAAACAGGAGAAATGTGATCTCTTTTCCTGGTTCCTGTCAGAACACGTGCTGCAGCATTCTGGATCAGCTGAAGAGTCTTAATGGACTTTTTCAAGCAGCCTGATAATAAGGAATTGCAGTAATCCAGCCTAGAAGTAACAAATGCATGGACTAGTTTTTCTGCATCATTTTTAGACAGGATGTTCCTGATTTTCGCAATATTACGTAGGTGAAAAAAGGCGGTCCTTGAAATTTGCTTAATGTGGGACTTAAACGACATGTCCTGATCAAAGATAACTCCAAGATTCCTCACAGTGGTGCTGGAGGCCAAGGCGATGCCATCCAGGGAAACTATATCTTTAGATAATGCGTCACGGAGGTGCTTAGGGCCCAGAGCAATAACTTCAGTTTTATCTGAGTTTAACATAAGAAAATTACAGCTCATCCAGGTTTTAACATCCTGAAGGCACATTTGAAGTTTAGCTAACTGATGAGTTTCATCTGGCTTGATCGATAGATATAAGAGGCCGCGGGGGTAATAGAGGCTCTGATTGACACCACCTTATTGGTAAAATAAGATAAAAACAATTCACAGTCATCATTACTTCCAGCTGAGTAACAGGCGAATCACAGCTAAAAACAATACATCTGTGGTCAGATATGGTCATGTCCACTAATTCCACAGAGGAAATGCTGACACCCAGGGTAAAAACCAAGTCCAGTGTATGACCACAGTTATGTGTTTGCCCTTTGACATGTTGTTTGAAGTTAAAAGAAGTGGCCATATTTAAAAAGTCAGTTGCATTAACATTGTTGGGGTCATCAACATGAATATTAAAATCGCCACAAAGAACAACTCTGTCATAATTTAAAACCAGAGTAGATAAAAATTCAGGAAGTTCTGATAAAAATCCTCCAGGCGGTTTTGGGGGGCGATAAATTATATCAAATATGATAGGTTGCAGCCCTCCAACTTTAAGAGTGAGAACTTCAAAGGAGTTAAATTCATCACAGCGTACTTGATGACATTTAAAATTTTTCCTATACACGCTCACTAGCCCACCACCACGACCACTGACCCTGGGTTGACTAAAACAATCATATTGAGGCGGACACAGTTCAGCTAGCTGGCTATAGTCATTCATTTGCAACCAAGATTCAGTTAAAAACATAAAATCTAGATTTGCAGACAAGATGAAATCATTTAAGATAAAAGTCTTACTTGAAAGTGATCTCACATTGAAGAGAGCCATTTTAAATGAGTTTGTTCTGGGTGCTGGAGTTGGTGCAGTTGTCCTAATCCTTAAGAGATTACTAATATTTCTGTGTGGGATGTGCACATTTCGGTTTACTGGTCTATGCGTGATGATGACAGGAATAGAAGTCTGTGGAACAGCGCTGGGAGCAGAAGGCTTTACATGCCAGCAGGTGGAGACAGTTGTTAGTGGCAGTGAGGCAGAGATCTGTTCAGTGAGCGGTAGTGTGTCCAGGTGTGCTGCATGAATGATGAGTCAGTCACGTAAGTCATGTGTGGACCGCACCACATGCTGTATGTGCGCAGCTAACATTTCTGAGCCCCGTTTGTTTGGGTGAAGTCCGTCTGTCTTAAAAAGAGACATTCTTTGCCAGAAAATATTAAAATTATCCACATAAAACACACGGTGAGCCCTGCAGGCAGACTGGAGCCAGTCGTGGAGGCCAAGGAGTCTACTGAAGCGGCCAGCACCGCGACCAACTGTGGGAATGGGACCAGAGATAAAAACGGACTTTCCACACTGCTTTAAAAAGTTAAGAAGACGGTTAAAATCTAATTTTGTCAGCTCAGACTGCCGAAGAGCTGTGTCATTTGTTCCCACATGGACTATCACTCTTGTGATGGAGGACGGGAGCGACGGCATCAGGTCCTGGAGTTCTTTTAAAATGACAGCTGTGGTGGCACCGGGGAAGCAGTGAGTGGTAGCGTTAAAGAAACGGATGTTTCTGGTTATGGAGTGACCAATTATTAGTGTGGTTGGGGAGAAAAGAGGACGAGGAGATGCTGGTTGTGGGGATCCAAAGCAGGACTGAGCAGAATTGCTTCAACACTGCGTGCGGACTGAGGATGGAGTGTGTGAGCTGCCAAGTGTTGTGTTGGAGTAGCACTAACAGACCTGAGAGAAGGGCTACCCGACGGTGCAGGGTGGAGACGGCCTCCGGAGTGTCTGAGCACAGCCTCCTTCAGGATCCTACGTCGGGAAGCGGAGGTTTTTGACCGGGATGACAGCCGCCGATCAGGTCCGGCGGCAGACCGGTGGCCCAGTGCAGGAGATGTAGCCGGTGGAGGAGATGCAACAGTGTCGGCAGGCACTGTGCGCCGAAAGAGATCCGTATCAGGGAGACTCGAAGCCGCAGGTGAATCCGCTGGATGGACCGGAGTGTCGTTAGACAAGGCTGCATAGCGGTTGGAGAGGCCGATGTGCGGAGGAGAGGCAGCCCCATCCGAGCCTCTCTTGCAGCCACGGACCACCACTTCAGCCCAGGTTGACTGATGCTTCGGAGTCGAGCAGGATGAAAGCCTGGGAAGACTAGAGGGGTCCCAAAACACGGTGTCCTGGATGTTAGCGGTTGTGCTAAGAGAAACAATCTGTTTGGCTTGTACTGAAGCCACATCCATAAAGCCAGTCAGCAGGGATTCTTTCTCTTTGAGTTCCTCTGAAAGTCGTCGGATGTCTTCCATAAGGTCAGCAATCTTCTTGTTCGCTTTCTTAAGGAGTGAGCAGTCCTCATGGGGCAGAGTTATCTCGGCTAGCATAGTCACCGGAGCTTTGTTGCGATCAGTAGCGTTGATCGCGTTTTTACGGTCATCTAGCTTAAAATCCATGTCGGATGACTAAAATCCTTAACCCACGTAAAACTTAAATAAAGTTAAGTTAAATAAAAAGGATATAAAAAATGTAACAAAAAAAGAGTGGATTAAAACTGGATAAGAGTCCGGTTTAAGACGGAGCTTCCGACAGGTGGCTACAGACGCCAACGCATGCGCAGAGTGCAGATTACGTCAGATTTTATTCGCTTTATTCTTGTATTGTTATTTATTTTATCTTTGGGTTTAGGACTCCAGTATATTCTAGTTTCTTTGGCGTACTGTTCACTTCACGGATTATTTTATCTACTGTATTTATTTTTAGACTTTTATTTTTGACTAACTGACTACATGGATTGAGCTGTCTATGTGTGAGGACTGAATGTGATTGCTGCTACTGTAAAAGATTGTAATTTCCTGCAAAGGATCAAATAGAGTCTCTATCTATCTATCTATCTTACCAGATAACATTAAAAACTGAATCATCTTCAAAGAGACTCTTACTTTGTTTCTGAGGGTCCAGGTTCATTACTGAAGTTCGGAGGTGACTGTCTGGAGCAGTCACTCACCGTGGACTGAAAGCTGGATACTGAAGGCTCCGCTCTCCACCAGTGGAAATAAGAAATATTTTACATTCATAATTATACATGACAGGATTTGACAATAACGTATAGTTAGAGTTATTTCATCTCATCAGTTTCAGGAGTCCCATTCTGCCAGTTAGACTTTGATTCATAACACATCATTATTTAAGGTTTTCAACTTCATAAATTTGAACAAGGACTTTTTTTTTTTTTTTTTTTTTAAATCAAGTCGCCCCTTAAAAATAAGGTTTGTCAGATTAAGTACACAGCTGTTATTTCAGTGTGACAGACAAATATTTAATAAATATTTAGGTAATATAAGTATGAGGACGGTATTAGCAGATACCCAAAACTGAATCATCTTCAAAGAGACTCTTACTTTGTTTCTGAGGGTCCAGGTTCATTACTGAAGTTTGGAGGTGACTGTCTGGAGCAGTCACTCACCGTGGACTGAAAGCTGGATCCTAAAGGCTCTGCTCTCCACCTGTGGAAATAAGAAATATTTTACATTCATAATTATACATGATGGGGGCATTTGGGAGTCTCTGGGGCGCATGGCCGGCGTTGTCGGGGTAGGTTTTGGTGCTCCTCCTTGGGGGTGCATGACTGGGGGAGCTGGGCCCCGTCCAGGGTTCAGATCGGCCTCGGGGGCTGCTGGCACTGCCTGCACTTTAGGGAGGAATGCCTCTGGCTGGGCTGGGGGACCGCGTTATCGCTCCCTGGCGGCAGGGAGCTTCCCGGCACGGCTTTCTGCTGTTCTTCCTTGGGGCGGGGTACAGCTTCCCCCGGGACATGCGGTCTGGGGTCCTTTGCGCTTTGGGGGGTCGCAGGGTGCCCTGGCTTCTGGGGGTGGGGGTCTCTGCGCGGGTTGATCTGGTTGTGGTTTAGTGGGCTGCGGTGGGATTGTGGGGCGATTGTCAATGCATCTTGATGCATTATGCTTTTTCCCTGGGCAGGGTCTCTGGATGGCTGCTGGGCGTTTAGTTTGTGCATTGGAGTCCGGGGGGGGGGGGGGGGGGGGGGGCATCTCCTCGTTGGCTTGGAGGGACCCGTTTGCGTCCCTGTTTTGCTTCGTTGGCCTCGGATCCGTGCTTCCCCATTTCTCTGTCGGCCAGTTGTTGGACCCTCTGGATGCTGAGGTATATAGTTAGTTTTCGGGATGTGCAGTGTGGGTGCGGGGCAGGGCTGTGCTCCGGTTTGTTCTGGGTTTGTGCCTGGAGTTCTCGGCCCTTGACGGGTGGGTGGGTTGTTGGTGACATGCAGCTGAGCTAGTTGATTTTGCCTCGTTGCTGGTTTGGCTGGTGTTGCACGGCTGCCGGGGGGCGCGCTGTGCATGGGGGATGTCGGCCGGCGCCGGCGGCCTTAGTTTTTTCCGGCGGTTGGGGGGACGGCGGACTTTTATTGCCGGGTGCACGGTGACCTGTGCGGCGCGTTTGCTGCCAGGCTGGGACTTGCTGCTGGTGTTTCTCTCCGCTGGCTTTCGCTGTCGTGTTGTTCTGTTTGCTCTCTCTCGTTTGCCCGACCTCGCACGCGGGATTCGCGGGGGCTGCTGGGCATTGGGTGTCACCGTGCTCGCGCAGTGTGCGCGTTGGGCTCGTCACTTGTGCATTGGTGTTGATGATTGCGTGGCATTTGGGCATTTTGGTTGTTCGCTGCACGGTGGGGGGGTGCTGGGGGGTGGGGGAGCACTGGTCTATGTTGTGTGCGCGCCGCGGTCGGTCCGGGCGCTGCTCTTCCGCAGGTTATGCTTTTTGCGTTCCGTCGTTATTACGTTGTCAACTGGCATTTGGGTCGGGGTCTTCCGCGTTTGCATCGCGGTGCATCTGGGAGTCTTTGTTTTTTTGATAGATTGTTTTCTTTTCTTTTTTTCCCCCCTTTCTCCCACCCCTATTGGCTACTGGGGTTCTTGCCTGCCTGTTGCTGGGGTAAGTGTGGCACAGTCGTGGCGTCACACTCTCACTAACAACTACATTCTTTAACAGGCTTATGCGCACACACATACAGACACACATACAGACACATTCACCCACACGCACACAGACACACACACAGACACACACACAAACAAATTTAGGTTGTCCCTGGTAGAATTATTCCTGATGCTTTTCTTTCAGTTACTTATTTAAATTAATTGTTGTTATTCCAGCTCTCATGCTGTGTTGCTTATTTATGTGCTGGACTGTTTCTTGTTTTCATTTTTCTCTTAGTTGTCTTACTATGTCAGCTGTTTATTGCTGCTGTTCAGCTGGTTGTCTTTACTATTATTATTATTGTTTGTTTTTGTTTGTTGTTGTTTTTCTCCTCCCCAAGCCCCCCCTCTCTGTTCTACTGCAGGTTTCGTTGCTTTCTGCAATTGGTATTTCCCCATCTGTTGTCCCCACCCTCCATCCCCTTCTCTTACAGGTGTTGTCCTTTCTCTGTGCTGTCTGTTTGTGCCCCCCCCATCCCCGTGTCTGCCCCCCTGTCCTGCTCTGTGACAAATCAATACATAAATAACTAAATAATAAAACAGACAAAGGACTATTTTAATACTCTCTTATTAAAGTAAAATCTGTCTGGCACAATATGGTATCCAGGTCATCATACTCTATACCAGGCTGCTGGGCAGGACAGGTTAAAATAAAATAAATAATAATAATAATAATAATAATAATAATTATACATGACACAGGATTTGACAATAACGTATAGTTAGAGTTATTTCATCTCATCAGTTTCAGGAGTCCCATTCTGCCAGTTAGACTTTGATTCATAACACATCATTATTTAAGGTTTTCAACTTCACAATTTTGAACAAGGACTTTTTTTTTTTTTTAAATCAAGTCGCCCCTTAAAAATAAGGTTTGTCAGATTAAGTACACAGCTGTTATTTCAGTGTGACAGACACATATTTAATAATATTTAGGTAAATATAAGTATGAGGACTGTATTAGCAGATACCCAAAACTGAATCATCTTCAAAGAGACTCTTACTTTGTTTCTGAGGGTCCAGGTTCATTACTGAAGTTCGGAGGTGACTGTCTGGAGCAGTCACTCACTGTGGACTGAAAGCTGGATACTGAAGGCTCCACTCTCCAACTGTGGAAATAAGAAATAAGGCAGTGCTGGAAAATATTGGTAGCCACAGACAATGTTGACACTTTGGGCCAAATTTGGACATTTTCACTTTAGTTGGCAGCGGTTTAGACAATAATGGCTGTGTGATGTGTTATTTTAAGGGAACCAAAAATTACAAGTTATACAAGCTGTACATTCACTACTTTAGCAAAGCTTGTAGCAAAGTGTCATTTCTACTCACTATATAGGATAGTGACATATTAACGTCCACTGCTCACATTTAAGACATGATATAACGGTATTATAGTAGTATAATAATTACAATATAGTATAATTATGACAGTTTCAGTTAAGAGCAGTGATATTTTTAGCTACTCACACATTCAGTCGGTCCACTGTTGTCTGCCAAACATTTTTTTTTGCCATTTTATTACTATGCCTGTGTTACTTTTTTTTATTGTTTATTTTTTTTAACATGTTATGAACTTTTATTCCATGTAAACCTACTCGCTGTTGCTCACTGTGTGTAAAGTATGGTGCACATGTCTTCTTCTCCATGAAACCTAATAACCAAAACCTGTGTGCTACCATATTGCCAAAATGTAGGCTACCTGTGGTATTTTAATGCAGGCTAATAAAAATTATGCAAAAGAACAGAAGAAGAAACCAAAGAAGAATAGATAAGAAAATGAAATAACAAAAAAAAACACATTGGTTTCTAATCAGAGTGACTGCTGACTGAACAGATAAGGCACTAAGATTAACTAAGCCTGGCTGTTGGCCTGGACTGGAGCAGGCTAGCTGCAGAGAATAAATCAACATGGAAACTTATGTGCTACTTCTTTCGTGAAACTGAGTCATAGCTTAATTCAGCCAGGAAAACTAGAAAATCCCGGGTTTGATCCACTATCTTGGTTTGTGAAACAGCCCTCAGATTTTCAGTATGTGGATCAAGTAGGTCAAATAAGGTTTGTCAGATTAAGTACACAGCTGTTATTTCAGTGTGAAAGATACATATTTAATCAACATTTAGGTAACTTTAAGTATCAGGTTGTAGTAGGTATCAGCAGATACCCAAATTCATAATGACTTGGATCAGGATCACGGCCAAAACCTTCATCAGGACTTCTTTGGTGACGGAATAAAAACTTTTTTAAACATCACATAATTACAAGAGAACAGTGTTGAAGTGCAGGTTATAACATTAAAAACTGAATCATCTTCAAACAGACTCTTACTTTGTTTCTGAGGGTCCAGGTTCTTTACTCAAGTCTGGAGGTTTTCTATAGACCAGTCACTCTTCATAGACAGACAGGAGGATGTTGGAGACTCTGCTCTGTTCCCCTCTTCCTTCAAATCACACATCTTCTCAAGTCTGACAGGTAAATCAGTAACACAGGAGACAAACACAAGAATTCTTTCAGTTAGCTAGCCTTGACCAAGTATTTCCTCTCTTCTCTGTTTCTACAGGCTATATACACTCCCTGTATTTCACTGTGTTTGTTAATAAAATATTGTGTTAATAAAGTTTTGGGGGAAAAAAACCTCTTTACTCTTTAGGTTACAAGTAAGCCCTGAGATGAACTCTTCCAATGAATCGTGAGGAAATGCCGTGGAAGGAACGGTCAACTTGATTGTGAACTTAATTCACGCACATTTTAAGCGTTGAAATGTTTTAATTGTCTGGGCTGTAACTACAAACAGCTAACAGACCATAATGTCATTTTACAATGTGGGCTTATCCTGTATACACCAGTGATGTAACATTTTCTACCTCTAACCAGCTACATTTTGGTGATATCTTTAGTTACTTTGCTGATATAGACTATTAATACAAAATAAAAATCAAGTGGTGAAAACTAACTAAGTTAATTTACTCATCTACTCATTTGTCTGACAGCTTTAGTTACTTTTCAGATTACAATGTTTCATCTCCTTCTGGTCCTGGGAAGGGGATGAACTACGTATCTCCCCATGTTTGAAATGTTGCTTTACGGGTTGAGAAACTTCTCCTTTTTCATTTAAATAAACTATTTAAACCCCTCTTGGATCAGCTGGAAAATGCATCTTCACAAAGCTGAAAACAGGACAGTGGCACTACAAACACTTGATGATCTAATCGACCATGATGCTTTGGTTTTGAGTGCAGGACATATTATAGCGGGAGTAGTTTTACTCTGTGGTATTAGTATTTTCACTAAAGTAAAGGATCTGAAAACTTCTCCAACTGGCTACACAGCAGTATATGAAGTAATCAAGTAAATATAATGAAGTAAAATAATCCCCACCTTTACCAGCTGCAACATTAAAGTGATCAACATGCACATTAATGCATCACTAATTAGACTCTATGATTCTGAAATGGGCCTTTCTGCATAGTCAGCACTTTATTTGTAGTACTTTAATATATATTTGATGCTAGTACTTTCGTCCTTGTACTCAATACAAAGAGTTTGACTGGAGGAGTATTTTAAACTGTGGTGCTGCTATTTGTAGTTGTTACAGATCTGTATACTTCCACCGCTGTGTATCCCTCCTCTGCAGCTCTTCCCGGGGTTCACGGTTTTTAAGGGAGTTTTTCTGATCTGAATCGAGGGTCTAAGCATAGAGGGGGGGTCGGATGCTCGATCGCAAAGCCATATTTGTCCAAATTGTGATACTGGGCTATAAATAAAACTGACTTGACTTGATACTTTGTCTGACTGTTCGCGCACTGACAGGACCAACAAGCGATATCTGAGCGCCTACAGTCCACGATTAAACTAAACTAGACTTCTCTGTCAATAAAATAATGACGTCAAACTTACGCTGCCAGCTGCGTTACGGCCTTTCACATAGAAAACGATTTATGGTGGGTTCTGCGGGGTCGCCAGCAGTGCGCAACAACAAACCGGCTCAGCCCTGTGAAGATATTGGGCCAGCGACAGACCTGCTTCTTCATTTCTTCTTGTTTTTGCATTTTAGGGCTGTGGTAACCAGCATTCAGGTTCATTACCGCCACCTATTGTGTATGAAAATGATCTGTCCCTTTGACCAAACAAACAAAAACAACCCCCGCATTTCACTGAACACTAAATTATTTTGATCAGCCCAAAAATCCTTCACAATCTGGAAGACTCATTATAATCCAAGCTTCCTGATTTCGGTTCTGGAGAGTTTTGGTAGTAAAAAATATCATGTGTGAAGTCAAGTCATTTGAGGTATAATCAGAGTCAGAAATACTTTATTGATCCCGAGGGGAAATTCTTTTGTCACAATTGCACACTTGTCAAAAGGTAGATAGAGTATATAAATATAATAATATAAAAGGTGTGTGGTTATGTACAATATCTACATTATTAAGAATTATTATGATGAACCAAAAAGGACAAGTGAATAAATAGCAGCAGAGAATATTGCACATTAATTATTAAACAGGTAATATTGGACAGAGAATAGATAATGAGGTCTAGTTTAATAACTGACTAGGTGTCAGACACTTAAAGGGAGGAGTTATTTAGTTTGATGGCCACAGACAGGAATGACTTCCTGTCCATGTGCACTCCCAGGTATTTATAATCCTCCACAATGTCCACAGGGACCCCCTGGATGGAAACAGGGGTCACTTTAATCATCATACCTGATTACACTATGAACAGCAAACACTTTTTCCGTTAAAAGAATCATTAAAGCTTCACACACACACCTTTGACATTACCATGCCACACAAACACATTTTGGTTCTTCAGCGGTTCTTTGGGGTGGTTAAGGTGCTATATAGCGCTCCTTCCATACAAAGAACCTGCTAAGCCCCTGTATGGGTCTTAAGAGGTTTTAGAAACTCTTTCTTTAGTCTTTTGAAGAAACAACACAAACAATATATTTCCTGAGGATAACATATTAAAGCAGTGGGTTCTCAACAGGAGACCAACCTAAGAAAAGCAAACGCTCTCTCTTTATGTTTTGTAGGCCTAAATTAAATATTCTGTTAGTAAAGTTTTCAATAATTTACATAGGCTGACATAATATACATTTTTTTAAAAAGCAAGCCTCTGCCTTACCGTTAAGCTCTGCACTCAAGTATTAAGTAGCCTACTAAGTACACATTAATGTCACATACAGGGCATAGGAATAATTCCACACATCCCCAGCACAAAAATATAAATTCATCATGAAAAGCTTTCTCAATATCCTCAGATTCAGATGCTTAAAACACAGTAGGCATATAGTCCTACAAGACACACAAATTGTATTAGTGTAGGTCTATAAATCAAATCCACCCTTATAATGATCACTTTCTTATATACCATTTGAACCATTGTAATAAATTAAATACATTTTATTTATGTAGTGCCAATTCATAACAGTGAACATTGCACTTTTCGTACAAAGCAGGTTTACACCGTAGCCTAATCTTAATCTAGTATTTACAGAGACCACCATTAAGGACTTGCCATTAAAATGTGTTTTTGACCCGGAACTACATTTGACCAGAGCACGCAGGGGAGACGAGGCAGAGAGGCGTTTTGGCGGTTGTTTTGAATCTCGGGAGGATGGCGTCTTTGAGCCCAGGAATGGAAAATTTCGGATATGTTGAGAATATGGCGAGTGAATCGGACAACGAGGAAGGAGAATGGCAGGAGGTAACACTGAAGAGAACAAGAAAGAAGAATTCTGTGTCCAGCCACAGTGAGTCGGAAACAACAGAACAAAATGAAAACAGTGAGGAAAACAAATGGGACGGAAGTGAGGAAAGTGGTGATTGAGTTCGGAGAAGCTTCTGGTAGCAAACTACATCCAGTAAAACTTACAAAGGCGCTTCACGAAGAGATCGGACACATTAGACAAGCAAGATTCCTGAGTAAAAGGAAGATGTTGATTGAAGCAGTCAGTAGAGCAGCAACAGATACTTAAAATGAAGACCTTGAATAAAGTAAGAATTAAAAGTCCCGTTCCTGGAGCTAATTAGTAGTAAAGTCCCATTAGATATTGGTACTGAAGAAATAGAGAAAGAAATTAAAAGAGAGTCCTGTTAGTGAAGCGCCTTCCTACGAGATACCAGGGGAAATTAGTTGATAGTCTATCTGTGCTACTGCAATTTGA